TTCCGGAACGAGATAACATTCATTGGCCCAGCGAGCCTTGTCGGAATTTCATGAAGATAGGATAGGAGGAATGTCTGTTTGAGGGGTTTAGGGGTTTAGGGGTTTAGGGTTTAGGGGTTTAGGGTTCCGAAACGAGATAACATTCATTGGCCCAACGAGCCTCGTCGGAATTTCATGAAGATAGAAAAGGAGGAATGTCTGTTTGAGGGGTTTAGGGGTTTAGGGTTTAGGGTTTCGGGGTTTAGTGTTCCGAAACGAGATAACATTCATTGGCCCAGCGAGCCTCGTCGGAATTTCATGAAGATAGGATAGGAGGAATGTCTGTTTGAGGGGTTTAGGGGTTTAGGGTTCCGAAACGAGATAACATTCATTGGCCCAACGAGCCTCGTCGGAATTTCATGAAGATAGGATAGGAGGAATGTCTGTTTGAGGAGATGGCACGACAAGGCTTAAGGCCTTAAGGGTTAGGGCTAGGGTCCGAAGCTACGGTTTGAAGCAAAGCACCCAAACAAACAACCTCTGGAAAGCACCGTTGCCGGCACCCGAACCCACAACCCTAGCTACTATCTTATTGACTTTGGTTAATAACAACACTAGTCTAATCCTCAAGTACGTAGACCCGAACCCTAGAATATAATATATCGTATGTTTTTTTAATCAGAAAACAAAACCTCACCCAAAGCCCAAAACTACCACAGGCTCTTCGATCGGCTGCGACAGGAGCCTAAGCAGCAAAACCTAGACCCTACGGAGTCTACAGCTGACTTCTGGGATTCCAACAAGCAAGACCACGATGACATTAGAACCAAAACCCATACTAATTTGTTGTGCCTATATGCTGTTTGCACTTCACCTAGGAGTACATACCCAACCTTATAGATGTCTTATGCTGTCGGGGTTTGTGGTTTAGGGGCTAGGACCCGAACGAAAACTTCAGAAGCTTCCTCAAACCCCGGAAAAACGTGGCAGTCGACTTTCTTCGGCGAGGCCACACTGCTGGAAAGCCCAGCACGTCATCTAGAGAATCGTACCTGCCGGTGCGGGGGATCGGGTATGTTCTAGAGCGACTTGGCTTGGAGAATCAATCTGTGCACTTGCTACCAATGCAGAGCAGCACTGTCGAGTTTTGTCATCGGTCACACGAGTAGCTGCTTAGCTGCATCCCATATCATGACTCATGCTTCCTCTAAGGGGCAGTGCGTGGCGACCCCGCTGTGCGAGCTTATGTGTAAGAAGTTGCATTTAGTATTAGCCAAGCCGGCACTCGCCCCTGGAAAGCAGACACCTGCCATTGATTGGATCCTAATTGACCCGAGAGAGCAGCACTGGAACGGTTCAGAAAACGTGGCCCAAGTCGATTGACTCAGGATCGTGGATCAAGCTGGCCGTCGGATCATACCACGGAGCCTCGGATTAAGTGCCATGGCTGAAGTTCGCAAACAGGGTTAGGGTTTAGGGTTTTAGGGTTAAGGGTTCAGGGTTATAAAAACCAGGGGGCTTTGGGCTCGTCAAGCAGGCCGTAGGATCATATACCACGGAGCCTCGGATGAAATGGCATGGCTGAAACATAGCGAACTCGAGTATATATGCACCAAGAAGCTAAGCTTGTCAAGCTGGTCGCCAGATCATATCACGGAGCCTCGGATACAGTATCATACCCAAGAGCCACAATAACTCGATAATGCACATACTTCTAGACAGGGAACTTTACCCCAGCTTCTTCAAAAAGTCGGCCGCCTCTTGCTTGGCAACCTGCAAGTAGTCGTCGGTCTTGTCCAGCTCGAGCAGCTTCGGCTTGCAATGCTTCCAAAAGGGATCCTGCAACAGAATCACAAGCGGGTTAATGAGCTTCGAGGCCTTAGAGTTTGGGGCTTTCGGGTTAGGCTCTTAGAGGTTTTAGGGCTTCAGGTTGGGCGGTTTTTAGGGGTTTAGG